AGTTTTGACCCATTTTTAGAACAACAAATTAGGATGTTTTTACTTGGACTGTAATTTGCTGGTTTGGTGTGGTCTGATTTGGTCTGGTCTGGTCTGAACTGATGTGGTCTGGTCTGATTTCTTTGTATTTTTATAACTACCCAAGTCTAGTCTGATCCGGTCTGATCTGATCTAAGACAAATTACAGTCCAAGTAAAAACATCCTTATAGAACAACAAATTAAAATTATTAATTTGATAGAAAAAAACATAATAAAATTGAAATCACACAATATTATAAATAAAGTTTCAAATCGAAACAACGTAATAACAGAATACAAATGATACTTAAGAAAATAACATAATTAAAATTACAATTAATAACACCATTATAATTAAAATTAAAACATAATTAAAAACATACATATTACATACTAATTTAGAAATTAGTAGTCATTCAGCCCGCTTCCAGACCCTCCAAGACCATCAAATAGATTCCCAAATCCAGCTGAACGTGATAATAGAGAATGAACGTGATATACATGCACCAGTTGAAGATGTGAGAGATACGCCAGTTCCAGATGTTGAAGTGGCAATTGATGAGGCGGCGTGGTTCACTCAATTTCTTACCCGACATAAACAAATTCACGACAAAAACACTCATATTGAGCTCCACAATGCTTTAATTGATCATCTGTGGGAACAATTCTCAAATTCCGATAACTAAACTAAGAATATTTATTTCATTTATTGCTTTAAGTTTAAGTAGTACTTTATTAATGACGTACAAATGATTATAATATTATTATAATATTATTGTAATATTTAATTTTATGTGGTTTTACCTTGTATTTGTGAAATACTCCCTCCGTCCCGCTATGATTGTCTCATTTTACCTTTTCGGTCCGTCCCACTAAGATTGTCTCATACCTTATTTGGTAAAGTTTGTGTGGTTCTAAATAAGTCTTACTTTATTCTTACTTTATCAATGCAATATCAACCACATAAACCCACTTTTATTAATAACCGTGTCACCTTCTCTTGTCCCAAACTTAGGAGGACGGAAGTAGTATTGATTATTGTATTTTAATGAGTGAAATGCGTGAAGTATTGATTATAGTAGTATTTTAGTTTGTATTTGTGAAATAATGTGTGGAATGCCAAAATACATACTCCCTCCGGTTTTATTTATTCTTCACACTTTGACATCACACAAAATAAGGAAGGAAATTTGACTTTACTGTAAAGTACACTGTTGAGGCACTGTTTGACATTGTTTGGCACTGTTGAGACACTGTTTGGCACTGTTGAGACACTGTTTGGCACTGTTTCGATGTAAATTTCTTTGCCAAAAAAGGAAATAAGGAAGTGTGAAGTTTATTTTAGACCGTCCCAAAAAGGAAAGTGTGAAGTTTATTAAAAACCGGAGAGAGTATTAAATGAGGGGCTAATGCTTAAATATATGTTAATTAGATAATTAAATGTAATAATGGAAAAAGTTGAGTTTTTTCCTAAAATAATGCTAATTAAATAAATAATTCCCAAAATACTATTGTGTTAAAAATAATTCCCAAAATACTGCTGGATTAAACTGGTGACTTTGTCAAAAAATATGCGGAGTATAAGCCATGCCAATGTCAACAAGTAATCACCAAATTAAATATCTCCCCTTTTCTTTGAAGTGCTGTAACTTTTTTATTTGTACTCGGATTGTTACAAAAAAATATACCAAAATTCGTAAATTTTTATTATCTTTCATATGACACCAATATTGAATATATAAAATCAAAAAATAATTTAACACTTTAAAAAATACTATGTATATGTTTTTAAAGCCCGTTTGGTAGCACGAAAATCGGCTGATTCTGCTGAAATTTATGAAGTTCTGGCTAAAGTGGCTGCATTGATTGATTCTGCTGATTTAAGAAAAAAATTATTTTTAAAATATCTTTTATTAATAAAATAAAGAAAAAATTATATGTAAAAATAGCTAAAATGGTCATCTACTGTAACTTCAGCCAATACAGCCAGAAAAATAACTTCAACCTTACTTTTTCTGTTTATTACACAATTCAGTGCGCGAAAGCAAAAGTTACGTGTTTGGTGAAAAAATTGTCTGATAAGCCTGATAAGCTAAAAATCAGTGTTGCCAAACGGTGTCTTGAAGTGCTATGTATTTTTATTTGTATTCCAATTATTACAAAAAAATAGGGGTGGGCAAAAATACCGAACCGGACCGGTATGGTACCGGCCCAATAAACGGGGTTTGAAACGGATCTCAAAATTTTTTGTCCCGAACCGGACCGAACCGGTTCCAAACAATGCCATGACCGGTTCTCATAAAATGAGAACCGCTACCGGACCAAACCGGACCGAAGTATGGTTTATTAAATTTGTACTACTATAGTTTATCTAAAATATATTAATTACCTCATCCGTCCCAAATTGATTTGCAAAGCCAACATTTTTTGTCAAAGTTAATGTTAAGTTCTTGATAATTAATACAATTTTTAATAATTAAAATTTACATATTTAGAAACCACATTAAAATCTCTCTAAAGTTGCAAAATCCAAATTAAAATATACGAAGTACGGAGTAGTTTTTTTGAAAGGCCAAATTAGAATATAATTAAAAAGTGAAATTGTTTGACCAAAAAAAGATTGAATTTGCAAATCAATTTGGAACGAAGGTAGTATGATATATGAAAATTGATAAATTGTGTGGATTTTTGGAGGATGGCTAAACTTTAATTTTTTCTTAAACACCTGGAAAAAGTGGCATTGTTTGGTATTGGTATGACATGGTACCGTCCCGTTTGAAAATGGACCGTACCGAACGGGTATGGGTTCGGCCAAATATTGGACCGGATCGGACCGTGCCTACCCCTACAAAAAAATATCAAAATTTGTTACTCCCTCCGTCCCGCAAAGATGTTCCCACTTTCCTTTTTTGGATGTCCCAAAAAGAAGTTTCTCTTTCCCTAAATGGAAAGTTATCCTACATCAAAACAGTGTCAAACAGTGCAAAACAGTGTCAAACAGTGTCAAACAGTGTTCAAACAGTGTCGAAACAGTAAAATTTACCTCCTAGTAAGTTTATTTCCTTAATATGTGTGTAGATCAAACCGGGAACATCTTTGCGGGACGGAGGGAATATTTCTTATTATCTTTTATATGAAAGCAATGTTTCATATAAAAAAAGGAAAACTGTCAAATAGGTCCTCGAACTTTCATAAAAAGGTCAATTAAGTCCTTCTATAGGAGATTCTGTCCGACTGTCGCGATTTGGGGTAGTTCCCGGTGGAATTTTTTGATGAATTTTTTTGAGCATTTTATTCACCAAGTCTAATTTACTCATACCAAATTTCAGCTAAAAATTCAATCGGGAACACATTCCAATTAATTCTTGAAGATAACTGCGCATTTTTGCGTTCTCGAATTAATTTGAATGCGCTCCCGATTAAATTTTTGGCTGAAATTTGGTATGAGTAAACTAGACTTGATGAATAAGATGCTCAAAAAATTCCATCAAAAAATTCCACCAGAAAACGCCCCAAATCGCGACGACCGGACAGAGTCTCCTATAGAAGGACTTAATTGACTTTTTTATGAAAGTTCGAGGACCTATTTGACAGTATTCCCTATAAAAAAAAAGAAAATCTATTAATTTGTGTAGTTTAAGATCGTTTTGTTACCATGCACACAATTAATCAAGAGTATAGATAAAAAAATTACACAAACTCCATCACATGATAAAAGATAATATGAAATAATAATTTTTTATTTTGTTTGGTAATAATTGGAATACAAATAAAAAATACTCCCTATATAGCACTTTAAAAACATATGCATAGTAATTTTTAAAGTGTTAAATTATTTTTTGATTTTATATATCCAATATTGGTGTCATATGAAAGATAATAAAAAGTTACGAATTTTGGTATATTTTTTGTAACATTCAGAGCACAAATAAAAAAGTTACAACACTTCAAAAAAAGGGGGATATTTAATTTGGTGGGACCCATTATTTGTTGACATTGGCATGGCTTAGTTGATCGAGTTGCGTTATACCCTATGTAGCACCGATACGGGTACGCAGAAACGCGGAATCGCTGAAACGGGTACGGGGATACGTCAAAACAAAAAAAAGTAGGATACGGATACATGGCCATATTTATAAATATTAAAAGTTATGGAGGTGTATTTACAAATATTAAAAGTTATAGGGGTCTATTTATAAATATTAAAAATAGTTTTTTTTTGAATATATATATATATATATATATATATATATATATATATATATACCATCCTATGATGTCTACGCATTCATTGCATTGAAGCATTTTCCTTTTTCAAGATACTAATAAATTCATAATATTTCTCGTATACACTAGTGCATCTCGAAATATAAATGCAGTCAATAAGTCATTAATTTAAAATGAAAAATATAAGTCAAACAACTACAATCTTGAAATTTACCCTAGCTAATCCAGCAATATTTTGGGAATTATTTTTAACCCAGCAATATTTTGGGAATTATTTATTTAATTAACGTTATTTCGGGAAAAAACTCTAAAAAGTTAGTAAAAAAATAAAAAGAGAATGTTCCTTTTTAGTGATGAAAATAGTGTAAACTGTTGGGGATAAAAGACCGATATAATGTTTACACTATTTTAGTGGAAAAAATGGTGTAAATTGTTGAAGATGGCCTTGGGCGGTGGGCCACCACTGGTTCCAAGTCATTTTCAATGAAATGAAGGTTACCAAGAAAAATATTCTTCCTCCTTTAATAAGGAAAATATATTAAAAGAAAAAGTGTAAAGGATATCAAGAGTGTCGAAATCTGAGGCATGCTTCAGGAAACATTAATAGAGAAGTGAAAACAAAAAGATAATTCCTCTTTTATTATTAACATTTAACAGACAATAATAAGTGCATGTACTTCAGTGGAGCTGTCCTCTGTTATTTACGGCATTGTAGTATGAGATACATTGCACAAATACAAGAAAAATAAATAATTGGCTTTTTTTCTTGATAAACCTTATTTGCTTTGATAAATAAAAATAAATACTCAGCCATCTTACATTTTTTTAAAATGTAAGAATAAAAGTGAATACCCGGTAGGCAAACCATCTAAGTCGGCAAATGCCGGGGAACATTTGTCGGGTATTATTATATTAGAATAAAAGTGAATACAAAAAGAAAGGGGGGACCAGACCAAAACCTCTCCAGAAGAGGCATTCCTCTTCAAAATACATGAAAAGAAACTAAAAGATGAAAATATTGGGGGGCTGTAGTAGACCCAATAGTAAAAATTACATAATGCAATATAATATCTGAAAAAAGGAAATCCATGTAAATCAGCAAATTACGCAGCCATCTTACACATTTGCTGATGATGTTTAATAAAGTCTGCTTTGAACTGCTGCTGCCTTGGAATTTCTATGAAGCCTTGGATGTCTTTTTTATGAGTTTATGCATTAATGGCAGCCTGTATTTGCTCCAAAGTTCTCCCTTTTGTTTCAGGCACTATCTTGATCACGAACAAAACTGCAATCACGTTTACTGCAGCATAGATCATAAAAGTACCTTCAACCATGAAAGGAGAAGATCAGAGGAGGAAAAGTATAAAGTTCTTAACCTTTCATAATGAAATTAGCATACGAGTTTTCCCATTTCAATTATTTATGGTAGCTTTTTTCTTAAAGATTCCGGCTTTCAAGATTATCTGAATTCATAAGGAAATGATGATTGACGCTCCTTACCTATGGAGTTCCAAGACATGAGGAAATTGAAAGTATAGGAACATAACCATGCGCCAAACCAGTTTACTAGTGTCGCAAGGCTCCCTGCAACGCCTTTGACGTTTATAGGAAATATCTGGAAAGAAGAATGACATAAGTCATATGCATTGCTGGAATGTAAATACTCCCTCTGTCCCATTAATTTCTTTCAGGTTTGACATGAATCGGAGTTTAAGAAAGTGGGAATAAAGTGGAAATGTATGATTGTGGTTGAGTAAGAAAAAAGGTAAATGAATATTAGCCACACAAAACTTTCCAAAAGGGAAATAAGAAGAATTTTTTGGGACGGCCCAAAAAGGTAAGTTTTTCCATCATTTGCAATAGCTAGAGTCAAAGATTCACTATTTTTTGGCTTGAGAGTATGATGGAAAAAAGCAAAATGACTTACTAAACTGTCTGCGTTTGTTTGTTTGTTATGAAGCAGCAGTCAATCCATGCAATTTTTTTACGAGATTTTTAAGGGACGAAAAGAGTATATGATAATGTCATTATTTTACATGTATACCTCAGACATAATAACCCATGGAACCGCTCCCATTCCTACTGAAAATGACCCTATGTACACCTGTTCAAGAACAACAATTAGTACAACTTATGAGTGAAAGATGCATTTGGTAAGGGTTATTGGACTGAATCTGTTGAATTTTAAGTATGAAACGCGTCTAGTGAGATCCATTTTAGCCATATAAGTCAGAATCTAAGAGGCCCAACAGCTACTTGTATACATATCATCCTTTTGGTTCCGTCCCCCCACCCACTCTATATATTAGATTTTGGTTCAAATAAAAAGTTCCCGTGAAAAGTGATAATGAATCTAGTGCATTGAATTTTAAATCTAAGGGCTCTAAAAAAGCATAGTGCACTTGATCAAAAATATGGTGGCATTTTGTTTATATATGGAACTTAATGGCATTTGTGTCACTGGAAACATAAAAGTGCACCATGGTACACCATTATATGCACTATTCTCATTTCTCATGGGAAGCACCATTCTAACCACAACCACCTCTATATATAGTTGTGTGTGTAAAAAGGCAAGAATAATATAAATACCTGAAACTTTGATGGGTGTGAGATAAGTACCCCAAAGGCCCAAACTTGCATATATGTAATATATACACCCTGAACTTTATCTAAGAAGTTATTTTCACACCATGTTTGTGTTTTTATAAATATAAATTTATTGGAATAATTACATAATTTAAAATACTCTAAGCTTTGTTAGGATGCAATTAACATTCTAAAATTTCATTTGTGAAATAAATAATATTACATCCGGTACAATTTATTTGTAATTGCACCCTCATAAATGTGTTTGTATTTTATATTATGCAGTTAGCAGTCCTAGCACTATAAAATTACATTTGTGAGAAAACATATGATCATGGTGCTAACATAACTTTTTATTTAAAGGTTGGGGTATATATTACATGTGCAAGTTTGGAGTGCTTATCCCACCCTCCTTCAAAGTTTGGGATATCTAAATTATATTTCCTGTGTAAAAATAATAACACTAACCAGTATGCCTGCTAGAGCCAATATAGGTGCTGCATTGCCTGCAATGTTATGTCCCTAATCCAAAAAACAATTATTTTTGTGAAGGCCAGCTAAAAGGTATAAGAAAAATAAAAACCATTGGCTCAACATTGACCTTAAGATAGTATGAGATGCCCGTTAGTAGACAGCCGATAGCAAGTCCTGCAGCAGAAACCTACAACGAAATAGCAGTGATACATAAAAACAGTGTAGCCTTCCATTTTGTGAAGTGCAGATAAATAGTTAAGGAGCAATATTTTGAATCAAATGGTATCCTTTTATTGAGCTTATACCAATATAAGAGGTTTCCTTCCAGCTTTGTCTATAAAAGTTGCACCCAGTGCAGTGACTATAACCTATCAAAGGATTTGAGGATGAAAACAAAATTAAAAAATATAAGTCCACCAATCCAATATGGTATAGTAATAAATTTTAACCTGAATAATTGCATAGGTTATAGATCCCACATTTGAAGGAAATCCTGAAAATCTCCTAATTTGGTTAGTTCATGATGCAAAGCAATAGATGCATTAGTGAGATAAGATTTCCAAACGTTTATGTAAGTTTCTTCCTAGCTTTCACATTCGAGACTTTGAGTTTTGTCAAGATCATGTATTACAAGTTGCAGATAGGGCTACCTGAAGTCTCAAATATACTGCTAACGTAGAAACAGACTCCATTAATTCCACCTAATTGTTGGCACAGCATTAGACCAACTCCTATCTGGCCATGAAATAATGAACTATATGAGGAACTCAAAGCATGCTAATGTAATCTTAAATAAACCAAACAACCAGCGAGAGAGAGTTCTTCACAGTGACTGAACGCAAATATCGTTTTTGAAACAAATCGAGTAGTTTTGCTTTGGGGAGCTTATCAAGCTTTTCTACATAATCCTGCCAACCAATGCCATAATCACAAGTCATTTAGGAACTCTGCTCATGTTATTGAAAACTATTAAGACATATATTTCATCCAAAGAGATCAAGCTAATAGGAGTAGCCAAAACTTTGTATGTCCGGTGCTGAATGACTTTCAATAAACAAGGTTGTAGAAGTAAACCTGAATTTCAGCTGCCTCTTCAGATATATCAGCATCTTTGCCACGGAGTTTCTGTAGTGCAATTTCAAACTCTTTCTTGTGTCCAATCTTTGCCTACACATGTAAACATCATATCTATGTGGTATAGAAGTCTTACAAGACATGACTGCCAATTGGAGTAAAAATGGGTCACATGCACAAATAGGAGTTTCCTTGTTTTATGATGAAAATAGAACTCATTCAGTCCTAGCAAAAGAATTGAAGTAAATAATAATTCTTCTTTTACGAGTGATTTATGATTTATTCATATTATAGTGGTTATCCCAATTTATTGCCTTATTGGACAAAGTTGTTTTTAGTAACTAGTACTTTTATGATCTTCTCACCAGCCATCTTGGAGACTCGGGAATGATGAAGAGACCCAACAAAAGAATGACACATGGAACTATTCCTGAAAGAAAGCAGGAAAAAGTTATTCTCAAACCATTCTACCAGTTCTTATTTTCCCAAAGGTGATTCTCAAAACATTTCTTCCGGTTGGTATTGTTTCCCCTGTACTCATGTAATTTCCTTTTCTGCTTTCCATTAGTAACCTAACGATCGAGCTTTATTTAAAAATAAGTTAAACCTGTTAGAGCCAAATTCCTCCATGTCAGCACAGTTCCAACAATGAAGGCCACTGATACTCCAATGATTATCATAAGCTGCAGATAAAGTTTGACTTTAAGATTATGACATGATATTATATATATACAACTGAACCTTTTTCATTGGAATGTAAACAAAAGGCCAAACTCTGCTATAAATGTATTTTTTTTCCCTTTTGAGCTATAAATGTATTTTTCTTATACTACTTTAAGGGCCTGCTTGCCTGTGCCCTTTGCTAAAAGCCTTGTTTGGCGACCTGCATCTTAAATGAGTGAATTGAAGTATTGAGGAAGTATATAATACTACCTCCGTCCCCCTAACGTTGTTATAAGAATTGATAAAGTGAGAATGATTCTATACCACACAAACATTACCAACTTTGGTACCCTGACAATCTTAGCGGGACAGACCCAGAAGGAAAGATGGGACAATCCTAATGGGACGGAGGGAGTAATATTTATATAGCACATTAAGCCAAATCAGTAGAAAGGAGTCTGTGGTGGTTACCCTTTTTGTGTGTGTATCCAAACATGCACATAATTGTTCACCTGATTTAAGGTTGTCAATGCTCCTCGCAATTCTTTGGGTGCAATTTCTGCTATAAAAACTGGAACCTAATTCATGTTTTCCATGGTGGCAAAAAAGGAACAGAAACTTGCATCAAGCTTAGATTTAACTTGTAAGTTGAGTAATGATACAAAGGAATACAGTTATCTGCTGAAGTACTCTATCACTGGAAATTATTACCACACCCTCACTCCATCAGATTATATTTAGCTCATGTAAGAGTAAAATAGTAGTTTCATGAAGGGTAGTGAATCTATGAGGTAACTGTTAGGACAACTATTCTGTACTTCCATATCTGTCACTAAATTGGACAAGAATTCATAATTTGCACATTGGTCTGTGGTCTAAGTTTCAAACAGCACTAAATGAAAGGTTGCATTGAATAACTTTGTTAGTCTAATAAGTGTCTAACTCAAGTTCATACCGTTCTTAGTTCTTACTAACTAATTGAATTGAATAATAAACGTACCACATAAGAAAAGACTCCCATTGCATATCCAGTTGCCACCCTTCCAATATCCATCTGCAAAGCCCCCTGAAAGCATGCACATTAAATTACAACCAGTTCACTCATACATTATTATATCTTGCAGAGAATAGTTTGTCTTACTGAGTTTAGTGACAAACCTTGGCAAAGTAAATGGACAGCCATCCTGCCACACAGATAACACTTGATATTCTCATTGCCTTTGAGCCATTTCATGGTCAAAGAAAAGTCATCACCCCGAAGATCGGATCACATCAAGTTCCACAAGGTAAATCTTTATTCATTCATACAATGCATAGATCTAGGCAAACCAGCTTACCCATTTCCGACCAACGTAGTCTGCTATAGTACCACTTGTGATTGCGCCCCCCATTGCACCAAACGTTACTATGGATCCAAACAGCGAGTACTGCATACATTCAACATTATAGCGATTTTTTGTTTTTGCTTAACTAAATCGCTGCTCACTACTTGAAGATTTGACACTAATATTCAAATACTTTGAGACTGTTACAACCTCATATGTGCTATACATCGGTTCCAATAAAAGAACTGAAAGCATTGATGTGATCTTACTATTCGAATGAAAAGGGGCATTTGGTTTATATCTATATGAAGTGAAACTGAATCATTGAAATGATCTAACAATTGAAATGAGCATATGATACTAATGAAGCTATGAAGCTGAAAACTGTTGGGAAAGAGTACCTTTCCTTTTCAGAAACTTTTAACAAACTCTCCAAAAGTTGTTACTATAAAAAAATGGTGTTTCCTTTTCACATTTCCCCATGACTCCCACATACTTTGGCTTAGAGAGAATTTCAAGGATATTTTTACTTGGACTGTTTTTGGTCCAAACCAGACCAGACTTAAATACCGGACCAGACTAGACTTAAACGGACCAGAACATACTTCCTTAGTTATAAAATACACAAAGACCAGACATTTCCCGGACCAGACCAATTCAGATCAAATCAGACTTAAACAGACCCGACCCGCAAATCTCAGTGCACTTGGAAACATCCAAAATCATTGAGAGAGCTTTGAACTGACCTCGGCAATGGAGAAGTTGAGATCTTCCCTGATGGCAGATTGAGTGGGAGATGAATATCCGATCTGAAAATACATAAAAAAAACCGGGAGATTGTAAGTTATCAATGAAAATGGGCAAATGAATGAAGAAAGATACAGAGTAGAGTTGACGAGATACACAAGATCCAAATGCAGCGGAACCGCAGACGGCAACAAATGTACTGAGGTAAACCATGCATCTATCTTCTTTTGGGATGAGCGCCGCCCTGATTCCTCCATTCCCTTCCATATCTTTCCCGTCCGCCGTCATCTTTCTCTCTCTTTCGAGTTCCGATCCTTTTGGAAGGGTATTTTCCAACGCAATCTTATAATGCAACTATTACTCCATTTCTCTCTGACTTTTCTCCCTCTATTCATTGATTGATTGATTGAATGTGAGTACTGTACCTGCCAACCACCAAGCTTGTTCAGCGATGCGTCAGTAGAAGTTTGTCGCCTGTCTTCTCGTTATCTGACCTGCACGACACAAATGTTCTCTGACCTACAGCCACACAAAATTTGTCTTATGTAGTTATTTGTTACGAAAAGTAGTAAATTGCACTTTCCAATCCAAACTATTTTCAGCAATTCTTCTTCTACAGTCACACACACAAAAATCAGACAGTTGCATAAAGTATGTACAATGGTAATAGGGTAAAATAATTAAAATTTTGAAGGGGTGTGAGATTAATACCCCAAATTTGCATATGTAATTTAAATATCTCAAACTTTATAAAAAAATTATTTTAATACCATAGTCAACTATTATTTCTTTCAAAACTGTAAAGTTTACGTTATTAATTGCATAATTTAAAATATTTTGGAATTCATGAAGACAGAATTAACATTTTAAGCTTGCATTAGGAATTAAATAATGTTACCCTCAATCTATATATTTGCAAAACTTTTAATTTTCTATTTTAAATTATGCAATTAACCCCATAAACTCACATTTTTAAAGAAATAATGCATTAAAAAGGTGAAAAAATAACTTTTTATTTAAAGTTTAGGGTATTTAAATTACATATGCAAGTTCGAGGTATTTACCTCACACCCCTTCAAAGTTTGGGGTATTTTTATTATTTTTCCCATGGTAATAATGTGTATAAAAAGTTTCTTTTTTCAACTATTTTTTACGTTAAACGTAGTACAACTTATACTCCCTCCGTCCCACTAGAAGTTCCCGTTACGGTTTACGATGTTTGACTCACGATAAAGTAACTTAATCCCTGAAGTTCCCGTTACGGTTTACGATGTTTGACTCACGATAAAGTAACTTAATCCCTGTTCACACTTTAATTATTTTTAGTAAATAAAATTCATATATTCAGAAACTAAATTAAAACCGCTACAAAGTGTGATAAAAAATGTAAATATGATAAAAATTTGATATATAAAGTAAAAGATTAAAAATAATTTAAGTTAACCATGTGAATAGTGGACGAGAACCTTCTAATGGGATGGAGGTAGTACTACATATATCAAACTTTAACTTCTTTTAACAACTACTTCTCGTTGAAAGATTTTCACTTTTCTTATTTGGATGTTCTGCTAAAATATTTTCATCCTACTTAAATAATTTACTCTATTTAATTACATTTTTACTTAAATTTCTCTATCCTTCTTTTTACATGTCAAGTCCCACAATTCTCCCCACAACTTATCTCCCTTTAATTATTTTCATTTTAATGGTTCACTTCTTCTAAATTTTCTCTTTCATCTCTTTTTTATCCAAATTATTTTATTCAATCACTTGTCTAAAAAAATGTGTCATTTACTCACGGGAACCTTTCAACGGAACGGAGATAGTACCTCTTTACGATGGGGTGGAACAGGAGTGGGTAGGTGGGGATGGTTTTTCAGGTTCGGCTTTGACTCAAGATTAAGATGATCATAATTGGACTCGAGTCATACATTAGATTAAATCATACTAGATCTGACCGGATTAAAATGGGTAAAATCGTACTTCAGTAATTATAAAATAGACACAAAAAGACAATTATGATAGTTTAGTAACTCATTACATGTTCATTTATGACAAATTTTTAAGATATAAAAATAAAATAAAAGACTAATGTGAACTTGATGATAGTTTAGTAAATTGTTAATTAACAATTTCTATAAAAAGAACACGATTATATTTGTTCATTTACTATAATATATAATGAATCTACTACAAGTATATGTTATAGAAAGGAGTTTATGTTATATTAAATTCAAAGAAGAAAATCTAGACCTTGTGAAACAAGCAGGTGAGTTAATTTCCAGCATATCCAAAGCATGGGTCAAAAGCATGGGCCAAACTAACTAAAACAACCGAGCCATGCAGATGGTACAATCGGCGGTATGTACCATGTAATTTACCGTGATATAGTCACTATTAGATTAAATACTCTTATTTAGAAAATAAGTTTAAAAGTACTTTTTTTTAATGAAATTGGCTTAGATTAATAACCAAAAATTCAGAGTATGGGTCAACTAACAGAAAGAAAGCTGATAACCGTTATCCCTCGAACTAGACTCGGAATTAACCACCGTAGCAATATAATTCGCTGATCCATAACCGGGAAACAAAAAGCCTAACACGGTTACCATATTCCTCTCAACCCCCGTATCCAAAATCAACGTCTTACAAACCAGAACAGGAAACCAGAAACAAAAACCAAAACAAAAACAATAATTGCTGTAAAAGTAAACAAAGCAAAATAAATAACACCCTTGTCGCCGCCAGACAACCCGAACCAACCCTCCAGGTTGCAGCCTCACACCTTCAACCAGTATATTTGGCAGGCTTAAGGAACAAAGCCCGCCTCCTCCCCGTTTTTTGTCCCATCTGTGACCATAGTATCCTCTTCGTGCTCTTTCTCTGTCTGAGTCTCCCAGATCTTTCTTCTTTTAGAGAACTCTTCCTTTGGCTCTTCCCCTCCTTGTGTGAAACTTTGAGCAGATTCTGTCCTTGCCACTTTCTCAGTTTCTCCTTTTCTGGCATAGTTCCTTCCGGCCTGGGTGCCCCTGGACCGCCTCCCGATCTGCCAGAGCTCGATGAGCCCTCCAGGAGCCAGGATTGCAGTCCTGCCGGGCTTGTCTTCACCCCGCCAGCTGCTCTAAGAGAGGATCCATATCTTTTTTCCAAAACCAATCCTTCTCATAATTCAGAGGAGAGAAATAATCTGAATGTCCAACCAAACCACAGGAGAAGCAAAAGGTGGATAGTCTTTCATATTTAAAATCAACCCAAAAACTTTTACCATCTTTTTTCAGATTTGTCTCCTTCTTCAGTGATTTATCCATCTTCATAAGGATCTTAACTCTCATATATGGCTCTAACTTTTCTTTTTTCTGATTATCATCATATTTAACAAATTCTCCTAAAAAACTCCCAACACGTCTGACAGTACCCAGATTAACTAAACTGTAGGGGACATTATGGACCTGAACCCAAAACTCAGCCTCATTCAAAACAATTTTGTGTGGTATATCATCAGGCATAATTTCTTTAAGTAAAACCAGACTACGTCCATATTGCCAAAGACCTCCATCCAGAACACGCTTCATATCAAAACGATGGTTAAAGGAAAATACATACCTTTTCCCCCCAATTTCTTTAACCGACATACCTTTTCCTGGCCTCCACAGCGTAAGCATCTGATCCTTTAGTTCCGAGAATCGGACTTTGCGATCCATCAATACCTGCCCGATCACAGGAAAGCCCGTTGCCACCTCCTCCGCTGGTACGCCTTCAAGCTCTCCTTCGTCGAGATTTATCTCTTCCTCGTCTTCCCTGATTGCCATATGCCTATATCGGTCAACCACGTTTTCCATGAAAGGGAACTCTTCGCCGAACCTTACACCTTCAAAGGAATCGGCCGCCTGCTCGTTACCCTATCCCCGACCGACCAAGAAGTCTGAATAAAAAGCCAACCTCACCGCCCTAACCACCAACCCGAAGCCGTCACTCGTCAAAACCCTGCAACCCACCGCTCTTCCAACCAATAAACTCGCACTTCGTAGAAACGAAGGTGGACAAAACTAGGCTAAGGGTTAGCCAGCCGCTGCAAATAGACAAATCTTTAGAAAATAAGTTTAAAAGTACCTTAGATTAGGAAATAAAATTTAAAAGTATTTCCCTTTAAAGAAACTCTTATATTCTTGCATTATCATGTTTTGCTCCTATGTATAAGACAATAATTTTAAATTATACTCCATATAATTATATACTCCGTAATACACTTATTCTCAATAATGAAAATGACTCTCGTTTTCATTCATATTGTATTATTATCAAGGTCTCGAAATTTCTCTCTAATGGTCCAAGTTTTTGATTAAAAACGGCATACTTCATACGTAGTACGTAGTATTATATAATACTACCTCCGTCCCACTAAGATTGGGACAAGAGAAGGTGACACGATTATTAAGAAAAGTGGATTTGTGTGATTGATATTAAATTGATAAAGTAAGAATAAAGTAAGAATGGTTTAGATCTACACAAATTTTACCAAATTGGGTATGAGACAATCTTAGTAGGACTTCCCGGAGGGAGTACTATTTTAGTCGTAGAAATTACTCTATGTAGAGCTAAAACATATACAAAGTTTAAAATAAGATTAAATATGTTTGATATTTCAAATGTGACTTATTTAGTCGTATTAAAATAATAAATTGATTAAAATTTCTCAAATTAAAAGTTTATGAGTTATACTTTAGGAATAAAACATTAATAATTCTATTTATGAACTTTGTACTTGGTTTAGTCCTATTTATTTTTTTGTTTCAAAACCAATGGACTAAAAATCATATTGTATATATATATATTGTATTTCAAAATTGGATAACATAATAGTTAAAATATTAAATGCGCTTTAAACGAAAGATCGATATTGACGTATAGTCCCATGTCCCAATAAATTAAATACAGGCAATGCAACCAATATAATTGATTGCGAACAAAAAAGATAAATAATTGCATTACACGCAATCCTTTGCATTATCAAATCAAACAAAGCGTAGATCCAACTTATCCTCTAATCAACACATAATGCAATCCATGAATAACCATGATGACATGCATGATGCTAACTTGTATGTTAATCTGTAGTCTGTAGAAGTCGGTGTCCTCTTAAAAAAACACTCGAGATCAAAATGACACAGTATCAAATTAAACTTCAATTCTCAAAACAGGTGCGGATCTAGGAATCTGAGATGTACTAGGTTAAATAGGAATTATACAAGGCTTAAATATTAGAGGGGTGAGCTAAATGTGAAAAATGAAAAAAATTATATTAAAAAATTGAAAAAAATTTAAATTGCCCTTAACTTCAGCCTACCATAACTCGTACATAGATCATCCCGTGTCTCAAAGCATCTGGTTAAATCAGAATATTTGCAATTTCAATAATTCACGAACATGCATGATTGTCCTGTGAACTAATTTAACAGACGATATATAAATATATGTCACTACCTCATTACTCGTTAGGACTTCGAGATCAATTTTTGACTTTTTGTTTCGGTCCTCTCTTAGAGCTCATCATCGATTTGAGATAAAAACAAATGTTATATTCCGTGTATGTCAAAACAGTTATAGGTAAGGATAAAAGTAAACATACAAGTAAGGGTAACAAAAATGTTATAATCCGTATATGCACTTTTATTTTAGAGCCCGGTAACACGAAAATCGGCTGATTCGGTTGATTTTACAGGAATTTATGAAGTTCTAACTGAAGTGGCTGCATTGGCTGATATAAGAAAAAATATTTTTTAAATATATTTTATTAGTAAAAAAAATAAAAAAATACCAGTATGTAAAAATAGCTAAAATGATCATCTACAATAACTTCAGCCAATACAACCAGAAAAGTAACTCCAACCTTACTGTTTCTAATTGTTACACAATTCAACGCGGAAAAACAAAAGTTATGTGTTTGGTGAAAATGTTAACTGATAAACCTAATAAGCCCAAAAACATATACGGGATCAACATTATTTCATCCCATCGAGAGTCACTCTTCTTCAATTCTGGCCACACGAGCGAGAGGAACCCACCTAAGCTACATCGGCGATGGCACGAACTCCCCCAAGCCACCAGCGGAGGTGATTCAAAACTGGGAAAGACATCTTTAGCGACAGCCACGACAATCAATTGCCTCCTCTTTCTTCTTCTTTGACTCATTATACTCAACATAATATGTCTTATGCCGCTCAATTATCAGAAGTTATGATTTTCAATGAAAAATACCAAAATGTCACTAATTGTGTGGTCTATATATCGTACAACGTAACTAATTATATGATATAACGTTTTGTCCTATTTAGAAACTATTTCCATTTTTTCAGTCGAAAAGTGGCAATATTATTTATGTCATTATTTTCATAAACACCATAAAAAAGGTGAATATCAAGTGGAAAGACAATTCCAGAAGAAATAGAATCACGTAAAAAGTCAAAAACATGTAAGCTTGCTGCTGCCGAATGTTAACATTCAACAAAAGACACGTGACCACGGAGCCGTCATTGACTGAAAAGTCCCACAAAAGAAATCTTTGACGGCTTGCTGTTCGCACTACAACAAAAACCATCTTTTGCGTCGACGGAAAATGGACGCAAAAGATCTGATGTCGACGCAATTGCACTATTAGCGTTGATTTGTGGACGCAAAAGAGTCGACGGAATTTCTTCGACGTAAATAACTCATTTGCGTCCACTTTGTATGACGCAATTGTGGTATCTATTATTTGCGTCCACTTGTTGACGCAAAAAGTTGATGTATGAATATGACAAATTTAGTCTTTTGTGTCGACTAGTCGACGCAAATACTAATCAATTTCAATATACCTAAAATTAATATGTGACTGTACAAACACTAATTAATATTCCAGTGATGACATTTTCAATCACGACAAACACTAGAAATATCACACCATACATAACACCAATTTATAAAAGCATTAAACAATATTAACTTCATACAATAGATGTTAACTTCACAGTAATAAATAAAGTTTACTACAATATCTTGTCATCAATTCAAATCACCTCATACAATACATGTTAACTTCAAAGTAATTAATAAAGTTTACTACAATATCATATCATCATGAGCTCAAATCATCATCTGCTTCAGTCTCTCCATCTTGGTTAGCACTTGATGTTGAACGAATGTCACTGTGTGGAGTACGAGCAGGCAACTCAAATCCTGGAATGAAACGTCTCAACGCACGAAGTATCAATTCTTGATTAGCCTCCAACTCACTGATTCTAACATCACGATGATCTTGAAATGCGGAAGTAGATCCATCTTCTATGCGACGGGATGCACCTTTCGATAAAGTAGGACCAAATCCACTTTGACGCCCTCGATGTTTCTTCAGATTGCGATTCATTATTTTTGTCTCATCAACTGATGTTGAACCAGATTGTTCCAACTCCTTCTGATATTCCTCATTCATTTGAACCTATCAATTTAAAAGCCCAAAATTTAAACATCAAATAGATTTATAATACTAAAACTAATATAAAATAAATGAATGATAGGGACTGCCTTCAACACACTATATCACAACTAGAGTTCCTCATGGAGAACATTTTCATATATATATATATATAACTATATATATATATATATAAATATATATATATATATATAGATTTAGGTTCATGTGAGAACTTAATCTTAGGAGAGGAAAAAAGAACACATCTTGACCGTTGGATTAGCCTCTAAATAAACGTTCGCCTAAGCTATGATAGAGGGTATTGAAGTCAATCCTTTTTCCTCTAATTAAACGTCCGCCTAAAATCGTGCTCTGTTTCCTTCCAAAAACCGTTTCTACAATCTACACGATTCTTTCCCAAAATATTTTCAACACACCACGTCGTTCTTCTCTGGTTCTGCAAAGGTATCATCTCCCAAATTATTTTCAGCTTGCCTTGGCGTTCTTCTCTAGTTCTCCGAAGGTATTCATCTGATTTCGTTCTTAAAAGGTACGAATTGATCTGACATGGTATCATTCTTATTTCGTTTTGAACCTAAGGTATTCTTTGGTCTGCTGCTCCATACGTTTTGAGTTTTCTTCTCCAGCCTAACGATTCCATGGAGTGCGGTAAGTTTCTTTTCTTTGAATTTTCTGATCGTTTAAACTCTTCTAGTTTTACGTTTGGATATACGATTCTATGATTTTTTCAATATTTTGAACGTCATGTGCGTGGAGTTTACCCTATTTTGTTGTGTATGAATCATTGATGGAAAAATTCGTTTATGTTCATACGAATTTTGCATTATTTTGTAATGCACTATAATATTTTTTTTCATACATGTGCGTTGTGATAATGTACTCTGATTCTCGCGTGTGGTAATAGGCTGTGTTCGTGAATTTCTGATTATTTTGGTTGCACACTTTAAATTTTACTATGATGCTCTTACATACATTCTGATATTGCACTTTTTTATGTTTATCAATCATTGATGGAAAAAATCGTTTATGTTCATACGAATTTTGCATTATTTTCCAGTGCGCTTTATAGTGCTTTATGATTCTAAGTGGTTTTGGATATTGCAGTTTTAAAAGTACTTGTTTGTTAATAATTTGTTTGCATGCCTCAATCAGGTTCAAGTGACATTAACTTCAGTGCATCTGAAGCCATTTCTCAATCGTTTTATGTTAATACAATATAAGTTTCTCCGGGATCCACTATGTACTGCACACCGGATTGTGACCCTTCTTTTAAAGCGCGTGTTGGTAAGCTTTTCAATAACTTGGATGATGGTATGAGTTTTTATAATCAATATGCAAAGATATTTGGTCTGATATTCATTTTTGCGTTGGAATGATTGACCATAAACCTCAATTGTTTCAGCAGTTTGTAGATGCCATTAAGGTGCAGAAAGAATTATTGTCTACCTCTCAAGGAAATAGTGCATCAGGATCTACAAAAAATGATATTATCAAAGCCTTTTATGGGTCATGTATTCCTACTGAAGTTAGCGTGCATTCACCGCAGCAGGCTCAAAATAAGGGTTGCGGTAAGAGGATTAAAGGAGGCAAGGAGAAGGCAATTGAAGTGAGCCAGAAGACCAAAAGACTATGTAGAAAATCTAATAAAAAAGGGTATCATGATAGTCGAAATTGTGCTTTGAACTCGGAGGAATGATTATTCTTTTGTATTCATTTTCACAACTTGGCCTTTGAGTTTGGAGCAATGTTGCTTCATTTCTATTTTTTTTACGAATTATAATTTGAACTTGTACAAATGAATATTCTTTTCAATTTTTTGTTGTGTGCTTTGGTTTTTCATTATGTAATATCATAAATTACTACCGATTGAGAATTATGTACGTAGTTGTCATTTGTGAATATAACAATTGCATTGTTATCACCAAATTGTGCACTTTTTTTAAACCAAAGTCTGCAATCTATAAATTACTAGTGTGTGAATACTTTATTGCATTGTTATTAATAAATTGTGTATGTATTGAAACCAAATTGTGCGCAATTTAAATCACTGAATCTTTGATAGGAAATTCCATACAATAATTTAAAATTACATTTATAATATTTGATTTAGAAAAATATTTATTGAATTCGTACCACCAAATCGTGCAGTTTGATAAATTTACTTAGCTCGCCATTAATGAATAAATATACATGAAATGTTATTCATAAAATAGTTCGGGTGCCTACCAAAAACTACATTGTACTAAGAAAATTGTACATTTTAAAAAAACAAAAAATAAACATGACAAACTTTCTTCTTCCGTTACTAACTTCCTCTGTCTCTTCACTCTTCTTCCGTTACCGCTTGGACCTGAAAATCATCATCACTTTCTTCTTCCATTACTAATTTCCTCTGTCTCTTTACTCTACTTATGTTCGGGTTTCACGCTCATGAGACGCACTTGATCTTTTTCCCTGCTTTTTATAGCAACTTGCATTCTTGTCTCCCTCTTTCCTAAAATTTGTATTATACAGTACACTTTTATAAGTAATTCAAGCATTCATATACAGCATAAAACATACGTATATGATAATGCACTTTATACTTGCACACATTTCTAACATCTACGATTTTCAATACACACCCGTTAAACTTCACTTTAAAGAACAAAAAAGTGCACTTTCACCAATAATACACAAAAAACACACATTGACTCATTCATGAAGTAAAATGCTCTTTATGAACTAACAAATGCACTTGCATACATTTCTAACAAGATTTTTGAAATCCACCACTTCAATATAACTTTAACCACCACCATATGCACTTTCATAACTAATACCCAATAACTGCACTTTGAATCCATCATGAATTAAAAATTTAGTTTACTAAACCAGATGCACATTCAATGCTTACGAATTGCACAATGCTAATATTCACTTTTAACTTGAAATATATGCACATTTCAACAATTGAGCATATAAAATAGTTGAAATTCATACTTCACTTTTAACTTGCAATATATATATGCACAATTCACTATTAACCATATGCACTTTTAACTTAGGAATTGCACAATTCTTAAAAATAGTTGACTTATCCATCATGAATTAAAAATTTAGTTTACTAAACCAGATGCACATTCAATACTTACGAATTGCACAATGCTTAATATTCACTTTTAACTTGAAATATATGCACAATTCAACAATTGAGCATATAAAATAGTTGAAATTTCATTTTCAAAAAAAAAATTGTTGAAATTTGTACTTCACTTTTACCTTGAAATATTTGCATAATTCACTATTAACCAGATTCACCTTTAACTGACGAAGTGCACAATTCACTTTTAACTTTTAACTTACGAATTCCACTATTAACCAGATGCATTTTAACTACAATGGCCTACCTTGAACATGCATTCAATCAATAACCCAAACAAATAAACCCAAACACATATTTACACAGTGACCGAAGCAATATTCGTACCTGTAGCACTCTTCCTGCTTCCTGACGCTTCGTCTTGCTTGTTCGTCGCTGACATCGCTACTGGAAGCCTTCTTAGGGATTCGCCTGTCGTCGATGTTGTTTGCTTCTTGCGTCCGTCGAGCTCTGGCTTCAGTAGAAGTCTGCACAAGGAAGTTCTCTCAGTTCAAAGATACCGGCACATTAACCGGGATTTGTTTCCATTTAGAAAACAGGGCCCCCAATCGCCATAATTAATTGCTTCTTCCTTTTACAAAAGTGCCCTCTAGATGCATGCTTGGCCTTTTTAATTGCTGCACGGACGCCTCACGTGGCTTTTTTAATCGGCCAAACATGAATTCCCAGCCGCACGATTGTTAGAATGGAGGGTTCAAAATTGTTCTTTTTCGCTCTCCTAAGAGGGTGTTCTCACAGGAACTAATCCCTATATATATATATATATATATATATATATATATATATATATATATATATATATATATATATATATATATATATATATATGTAAAACCAAGAGGAGAATGATACCATCCAACAACATTCTCCAACTAACCAGACATTAGTTTTACAATCCATCCTTCTGATTTGTGTTGCATGAGAGCAGAATGAGTTTGAAAAACTCTCATAATCATCCAAATACAATTACCTTATACTAAAAGCTGATAGAATTTTTAATTGGAGCTTCCAACCTCCTATACGACAGTCATCATCATTGTGACTAGAATACACAACTAGGCAATAACAATAAAACAACATTCTCAATTGTACACTAGCTCATCGCATAAAACACAACTCAAACAAGAAACCAATTTCAGGATATTTTAGAAACAAAAAACGCAAGTAAAACTCATAGTTATATAAACAAGAAACCAATTTAAGGATAATTTAGAAACATAAATAATTGAATTTATATATATATATATATGTGTGTGTGTGTGTGTGTGTGTGTGTGTGTGTGTGTGTATATATATATATATACTTACATATTTTTCATGAGCTTCATTTGTTCTCCATCGACCATCCCGAGTCATGCGGTGATCTTTCCAATTTTCAATAGCTGAGGATTGTTCACCGGTCAATAGATTATCCTATACATTATGCATGACAACAATAATTAGTTATAGAATAGTAAAAAAGAAACATCAGTAGTAAGCTTAATCCAAAGATTTACGAGCATTCTCAAGGAATTCATCCCTCAAGCTTCCCTATTTTTGGAGTTTTTCCTTGAGATCTCCTATTTACACATGAATTAAAGTCAATTAACTTTTATTTGTAACTAAACATAAATATTAGAGAAAATAATAGTAAACCTTAAACTTTGCAGAACTAAATCTCTCACAACACTGTCGCCATTGTTCATCAGTCTGAACATTTTCAGGTTTCAATGTTTGGACACCCCTGTAGTTCTTGAAATAATCACACAAATCACTTTTCCAGTCATTATAGCACTCTCGAGCATCTCGGTTGACCACTTCATCAAAGACCTCATCATTGTCATTATCAAACCAATCCTTCAATATATGAAACATTTACCTTATGTTTTGTCTTGTAGGTAATTTGATTTCATACAGAAATGAACTTATCTAGGGCATATAAACTGCAATAGTAATAATCCTATTAACCTACATATCTTGGCAGCCTGGGTACAAAAAACAGCTCAGTAATTGATTTAGAGGGGAAGCTTAGCTCCTATTTGGTAGCATTAATGAATTATTCTGCTTATTAAAAATATAAGCATAGCATTCAAGGAAATTTCAACAAATTCAAACATACACATATAACAATTGTCAAACAGGCTACATAGTAAAAACACTAATGAAGATAATTAACAGTTTGGAAAAAAGTAGTAGTAAGTAGAGCACAAGGACCTCCCTGGCACTTAGGCCAAAAGTTTTATGGAAGAAGAGGGTGGTAGCAAATTTAGAGATTGATTCAAACACAATAAAACAAGTTCAGATCTTTATTCAAATATTTCAATTCTATAAAACCAATAGCACCCATATATGTTCCAAATATTTTCTTTATCTTGGTGCCATTCTATGAATTCTTTAGGCTATATTTGGGCAAAATGGGAGGGAAAGGGGAAAAAAGTAATGGAAGAGAAGTTTCCAAAGACAGTTCATCATGTGGAGTCGATGTCATTTATCCAAATTATTGACATTTATCCAAAATCAGTGTTACTAACAAGTTAAGTATGTTTTACTAGCATCCGCTGCCGGATCATAGACTTTTGATAGGTCGGAACATCATCCCACCTATCGTAGAATGGCTCACAACAATCTCGAGTATGTATGCTTATCGCACTTGACCACCAAGAAGATTTAGCTCCAACAGCCTTCCATGTTTGTCTTTTTGTATCAAACTGAATCTTGACCTTGCCATCTTTAGCTACAGCATTGATAATATTATTTCCTTTAGCAATTCCTCTCTTCTTCCTTTTCTCCTTCCGTACACCTAAGAGAAAATATAATTGTATTGAAATTTGGAAAGATTTTTGCTTTCTCAAGATCAGAAAGGTCAACTTTTGAGTTGTTCAATTCATGTGATTCTTTAACTCTCATTTAGGTTCAGTTAGGATTTGCTAATCTACACATTTTTACAATACCCCAAACTAACTGCTCACTGCCTATTCATAGGCAAAGTAGTACTGCATAAACCTTCAGTTTCCCATACAACCATCCAGTGATGGTACCTTTTTTTATTATCAAACATGCAAAATCAATGTGTGTTTTTATTTGCTAAAGTGCTTTCTCTAAACCGACTTAAATTTCAGAGTAGAAAATTGACAACTTAGATGAAATGAAACTTTTGTTCAAGCCAAACTTGGCTGCCTCATGCCTTCAAATGATAATTTTCTAATAGATTTGATAATGTATTGTCATCTTAATGTGTGACACCGCACCCGAGCGTCCTTGAAAATTCAATTTAAGATGCAAAGTTATGTATTGAATTTCCGGGTTACCAAACAATTGTAGAACAAGTTATGTTTTACGTAGTGCATGATTGAATATTGTACTGTTCAAACTTGTATATTAGTGTCGGGTTTTGCAAATACTTATTTGGGCCTTATTAATGAACATAAGAGCCCAACATTACTTAAATATTGTTACTTAACCTTTCAAGACAATTTGAGGAAGGTCGGGCGACCCAAATATTATTTTGGGTCCAACCTGCTAAAAATAGCAAGTATTCGAGAATGGCGTCCTAGACCCACTCGGGAGTGACCCACACGGCTAGTAGCCCAATAATATGTATGACAAATGTCAAAATAAGTGATAGAATGATTGGAGAAGAATACAAATACCTATAGCCTCATCTTTGACATTATTGAACTAAATAATGGGAGGGAGATTTTCCTTCTATGATATCCATCAAGTAAATTATTGGGATGATACTACACATATTGGGGATCAATAATATGATGTAGGGAGTTGACTTGGCCTACATAAATTATAATGAGTACAAAAAGACATCTTTTGACAAAGATAAAACATTAGGACCCATCTTCCCATTTTTTTTTTGGAAGTATTGGTAGATGTTTTGGACCCCAAATTGAATGGGATCAATTGGGAACCACTCCACATGAACTTAGTACCTGCAAAACAAAGAAGAATGGGTGAGACAACTATGTGGGGCGGACTTTTGACTTAAGAGCTACAACATTACAAAAAGGAAATAAAAGAGGAGGTCCACCCCATGTTTGAGTGCAATCAAACATCCTACCCTTTATTTTTGTGAACCACATGCTTAGATATCATTTGAGAGCTCCTAAACACCTCCCCCTCACCCCCCATTCGAACTGAAAGAGATAAGAAAGAAGGGAGAGCCTCACACTCAAAAGAGAGAGAGAGATAAGGGAGCTGGCCGCAGGGATAACCTCCAGTTCGTGGAGCTCACTGTTTGGTTCGTATCTTGAGAAATACTCATCCAAAACACAACCTCGCAGAATACGTTTTTGTATTCAAAGTAAGTTTGAATCCAAAACCTTCCTCTCTATTGTCTAAATCATATAAATGATTGAAGAACTATTATACACTGGTTGAAGTGTATAAAATGTTATTATAAAGTGACTTTAATTTTTGGAAAGGTTAGATACTAACCTAGACAAAACCTTGAAAGGTTAGGGAACTAATTCGCCGGAAAACACCCGTTCTAGGGACTGTTTTCGTACCTTCGGTTAGGAGTTGAGCAAGCACCTTGAGGAGGCTGTTTAACACTCAATTCTAAGCAAGGAATCAGTTCTCAAACTTCCTTGGCCGAAGCTTTGAGCATTGCATTGAGAAGGAAAAGCTTAAAGCTCATTTAAGGTGAGGACCGACATCTAGTTGCTTACAACTTGTAGGTTATGCATGAGATTACCTAAATGCTTAAATCATGTTTTTGTGAATAAATATGTTTGAACATGATATGAATGATAAGTAATGGATTTGACCATGAATTGAAAACATATTGATTAATATGGAGTCATATGAGGTAGAAACATGCTAATATGTTAAATAGATTTTTTTCTAACTCTTGTAAGAATGTTATGTGCATGTAAATGTATAGTTGCATGATGATGCTTAGCACATGGGAGGCTGCCACATATGGAGGGGCTACCATTAAGAGTAAATGAGTTGTAGGAATAATCTTAATAGTATTGTGATGCTAGATAAGGATTGTTCGAAAATTCGATAGAATCAAACTTAAAGGTTTGGGTTTGTTTGTGATGAACTTGAATAAGATTCAAGTGTCAATTGTGAATTCATGGAGTAGGAGATCTATGGTGTGATTTTATGAAGTAGGAGATCTATGGTGTGATTTTATGAAGTATGAGATCTATGGTGTGATTATATGAAGTAGGAGATCTATGGGGTGAATACATGATGTAGGAGATCTATGATATAATTGTATGAAGTAAGAGATCTATGATGCGAGTGCATGATGATGTACTCGAGCCGAACTCTAGAGAGGAGAAGTTATATTAGGGTCGGGCCCTATGTATTGTCGTGACTATTAGTCACGGGGTTTGGGAAATGTTTTGTAACAAACATGGGCCTTTGAGCCGACTACTTGACTTTATATAAAGTAAGTATATATTTTAAAGGGGTAATTTGGGATTACGGCCTATACTATATTATCAATCTATTTGAGGGTCTTGTGTGTGAAATACTTGTTGTATATCTATTAGATGCCTGCCACACCAGTACTTTATAGCCGTATAGAGTACTGACCCCTTCGGGGGCGTCCCACCACCCTTTCAGGTTGAAGCTCGAGCTTGTTACCTGTGCTCGTTGCTCGGGTGATCCTTTGGAGAGAAGACGTGGTTCGTGCTTTCTCCATTCTGTTTTGAACAATATTAAACATGCTCATGGATATTTTACTATAGAGCCCGCGTGCTCATGAATAGCCCTGTGTGGCCCTTTTGTTTTAAACAATGTTTTCTGCTGCGTTATGAATTACTTATTATGTTTGTTTTATTGTTTATGGATGTTATATGTGTGAGTGATATTCAAGACGCCTTGTATAATATGAATGTGTTGGACTGCGGTTGACTATTCTTATTGTACGGCGGGTTGTTGACGTGTCCGGGGAGGTCCGGGGTGTGACATAATGAGTATCAACAACACATGTTTGATTAAGTAATTGCAAGTATATTTAGCAGTCTAACACTTAAATAACCATGGATCTATAAGTAGGCTGACTCAATGTAATGTTGATTTTTTGTCTTTCTATAACGAGGCACACACAAACTCACACACATGAAGTTGAAGCTAGGAAGTTACTTTGTCTTGTGCCTTCAATAGTTAAATACATTGTATATACTGCGTATGTAATTCTTTATTTATATTGTTCAGAAAACATTAATCATAATTATATTACATCATAATTGAAATACATAATACCAGACTCGCAAGAAGAAGGTACTCTACGAGGATCTCGCGGAGGTTGTGCTCCTCCACTTGAACCTGCACTTGTAGCTGCAGATCTTGCCATCATATACACCTGTATGTGCAAACAAATAGAAAAACTACAGACTGTTTTAGGATAAACATTAAACTAAATTTCATTGAAGTATCAATAAACTTTAAAACATAAATCACAACCA